TATATATATATATATATACATATATATATATATATATATATGTTATTATGTTTGTATATAAAGGGTTTGTGTATATAAATTGTTTATAGATAATATTATATATTATATTATATGTATATTGTCTTATTCAGGAGTATACAGAGAAGTTAAATAAGACATTAAATCGTATATTAGGGTTTTATCCATTAGATAATAAATTAATTGGTCCTTATAGGGTGGATATACACCTTAAACCCTCGTAAGTAGTATACTCTACCCCCTCCAATACACAGAAGTTGCCTATACACCGGAAAATATGAAGATCGGGGAGAGTCAGCAGAAACCCTCGACCTACGTTGTAGGGTTTAGGGTTTAGGGTTTAGGGTTTGTAGGGAGAACGAAACAAAGAAAACATCCACAAACAAAGCCCTTGCTCTTTATTAATTTGTGTTTGTACAGGGACATTGAAGAACCCCTTGCTCGATGGCAGCAGCAACAGCAGCAGCAGCAGCAGCAGGGAGGCGTCGCTCCGGCCAACTGCAGCAGCAGCAGCAGCAGCAGCAGCAGCAAGGGTCGAGAGATATGCATAGATTTATTATCTGAAGGTTGTTACTGCCCTCTGTCTGGTGAGCTATTAGGGGCCCCCCTATTAAAGCAGCAGCAACTGCAGCAAATGGGCTTCTTATACAGCAGCATAAGGAGGAGACAATGGCTAGCAGCAGATGCAGCGCAGCAGCAGCAAATGCTGCTTACTGCGATACAACAAGCAGTCAATGGCTGCAGCAGCAGCAGCAGCAGCAGCAGCGGCAGCACGATAACGTAGAACGGCTTGAGACAAGTACGAAAGACTTGTGCTGCTGCCTTGCCTCGCGCCCTATGCTGCTGCTGTTGCTGCAGCATAAGCAGCAGCAGCAACTGCAGCAACTGCAGCAGACGATGTGCTGTTCCTTTTCTGAGATATGAAGGGGAATGATTTGTGTGTTAATAACGAATTTATTTTTAGACTAAATGCTTACCATTTCCTTGTCTAGGGTTTAGGGTTTAGGGTTTAGGGTTTAGGGTTTAGGGTTCAGGAGGAGGTAACTCGTTATAGTCATTAGGCTCCTTAAGGTGTAAAGTCCCCGTATTATCAAATATCTAAGAAGAAAAAAGAAGAAAAAAAGAAATAAAATAAAATAAATAAATTATATATTATACAATATATATTTTATTTGTTTATTTATTTATATATTTATATATTTATTTATTTATATATTTATATATTTATTTATTTATTTATTTATTTATTGTTGTTTTACCTTAACAGGATTTCCTTTAGACATTGTTGAACTATACTCAACATCAACTCTCCTGTATTTTATTTATTAATTTATTTTATTTATTTATTTATTTATTTATTTATTTATTTATTTATTTATTTATAAATATATTTCTTACCCTATAGCATTATTAATAATAACATTTTTATGTTTATTAGTAGCAAAGTTATAAATGTTTGCTTTTTTTGTGTTTATTATTATCCATTGGCCATAAGGATTTGTAGATAAAGGAAGATTTATTGCCTCTTCTCCTTCATTTATAGGTATTATATCTGTATATAAGTATATAAATATATAAATATATATTATATAATAAAGGATAAATATATTGTATTATATATTATTTATTTTTATTATTATTAGGAAGAAAAGGGGAAAATATTTGTGCGTATATTCAGGTGTATGCATATAAACCCCAATATATATGCATGCATGCATGCATGCATGCATATACAAAAATATATAAAAAGAATAATAGGTTAGTAAGGCAGTATGCAAGAGGAGCATTTATAAACAGCAGCAGCAGCAGTAACAACAGCAGCAGCAGCAGCATGCATGCATGCATGCATGCATGCATGCAAATAACATACCAGGTGTTCCATCAGAGTATAAAATCTGTCGTGCCTAAATAAAGAAAAGAAAAAAAAAGAAAAGAAGAATAAATTATTTATTTATTTTTGTATAATAAAAAGAATAAAAAATAAATACATTCAAATAAAATAAACTATCTCTGCATATTAACAACAACAACATAATATATATACATAATAATAAATACATAATAATAATAAATAAATGAATAAATAAATAAATAAATAAATAAATAAAATAAATTACCTTAGGAGGAATTAATTCGAAGGTATTAACGGCTGCATGTTCAGAAGATAAACCAACGCCAAATCCTTCTGCTGTATTCCTCATGGCAAAAAGAAAGAAAAAACACCAAATTAATTGGAACATTGCTGTTTTATTCCTTCTGTTGTTGCTGCTATTGCTGCTGCTGTTGTTGCTATTGTTGTTGCTGCTGTTGCTCCTGTTGCTGCTGCTGCTGCTGCTGTTGTTGCTGCTGCTGTTATTTCTTGTGAGGTTCCTCCCTGAATTCGCGGAGGAAAGCACTAATCTATCTATAGGGGGGAAAAAAACATGAATACATGAATAAACAAGAAAAAAGGAGGAAACTCACATTTTTTATTCCTTTCCTTGTGTCTCATTGATGAATTTATTTATTAATTATATAAATAAATATAAATTATAATTATTTTCATGAACAATACGCATAAAATTATACAAAAGAATACAACATGTATTCATGATCGTGCGTTAGCGGTTCCTTCATCTTTCAGGTGTACGTGCACCTCAATCATGAATAAATCATCTTTTTTATATATTTTTGCTGCATTTTGCAGTTAATATTCTTATTATTTTTAATTAATATATAAATAGTCAATATTTGTTTGTTATGGAGAAGGGCTTTGTTAATATGTTGTGCTTAATAATAGTAAACAATAAAAAAATATTCATGTAATAATTGACGGGAGGAAGAAACACTCCTTATTCTCCATTCAGTCATTATTCAACAAGTGGTTAGTTATGCAGCTAACTAGCGGCATTAGCCTAAACCCTAAACCCTAAAACTCTGAACCCTAAACCCTAATCTGAGCCAACTGTTCCTGTCGTACAAACTTGGATTACTGCTACATTATATATATTTAATTAATTAAATAAAATTAACCTGTCTATTGATATTCGTCTGAACTTGAAATAATAGGAAAAATATTCGTGAGGGTAGGGTAGTATATGTATATAATTTATATATTTCCTATAGGGAGCATAGGGGAAAAGAAATGGCTATATAATAATATATTATAGATAATTATATACTATACTAATATATATTATACATAATGACGTAAATACAACATTTTTTATTATTCTTATTAACAAGAAATTTCCTCTTTTTTCTCCGTTAAGTCTATAAGACAGAAGAAAGAAGAAAAGGAATTGTCTTAATAGTTGCTAACTATAGGCCTAACAATTCAATAAATAAATAGAATTGTATAAGAAGAAATAACTTTTTATAAGAATAAATTAAGGGAATAAATTAGGAATAAATTAATTCTGTTATTTATGTATACAAGGGAGGCAACAGACAGCCAAGCTCTTTTCTTTCTTTATGAATAAGATATTCATATATATATTGAATATATAGCTATGCAAAACAGATAAAAGTTGAATAAATTAAATAAAGGGAATTTAAATTATATATTTAAATTTATATTTTATACGGGACTGCTTGCATGCATTCCCTTAATAATAACACCTTTCTTTGTCCCTTTTCTCCCTTTTCTCCCTTTTCTCCCTTTTCTCCCTTTTCTCCCGTTTCTCTGTGTCTGCAGTTTGGTATGCGGGTGGGAGAATGGGTATATTGATGAAGAAAAAGAGGTTCTTTCCCTTTTTTTCCTCTTTTATTTTATCAAATAACTCATTTTTAAATTATTAATAAAATATTTGTGGTGAACATTGTCTAATTTTGTGCATTTGTTGCCTATCAATCTCTGTAAGATCACTTCGTTGTTGCATCGCAGCAAGACCAATATGCCTTAAAACCCCTTCTTTTGAGGAAACTTTGAAACTTTTGTGAATAAAAATAAATTATTCAACCATACACAATTAATTTACGGTATTTTATGCATAAAAATGTTCTTTTTGCCCTTTCCCATGGCTACGCAAATTCGGTGCACCTCTACGTCGGTAACGTCGAACCTGAACACACGAAATCGGCGTCGCCGATCTTAGCAAAATGCGACTTTTTTGCAAATTTTTTAAAATAATTGAATATAAAAATAAGACAATTTATTGAATCAAAGTTAAAATACCTACATATTGTTGATTTGTTGATTTCTTCATGGTGGGGTGTACAATATGTTGGAGTTGACAGCTAGCTGGCACACAAGCATCGTCGCGATCTGAAAATTCATCAATGGTTCCTTCCCCACCTAGCTGTCATGAACTTCTTTAAGTTCTTCTTATTGACTACCCTTCTTTTATCTTTGTTTTCCCTTCTTAATAAAGGGTCTCTTTTCCACCGCTTGTGGGGAATATTCCTTCAATGCGGTGAGTCGGCAACTCCTCACCCTTGTGTGTGACGAGTTACCGAGTGCTCAGGTACTCATTTGCCGATTATTTTTCATTTCATTGCAAAGAATATTTCCTTTTCCTTCTCATTTATCACGTATAGATTAGATTGGCAGGAGCCTTCTAATCGTCGCGTGTTTCCGCATCATTATATTCAGCTTTCGAGCCATCCAGCGCGTCAGCACCACATATTTTCGTGTGGCGTTGGTGTGGCAATTTGAAAGCCTTTTTCCTTCTTTCCTACAGATTTTATCATTTCAGTTTATTCCTTGACTACGTAATGCGACACTTGCAAAGGGTAGCGGCCCTGGCGGGCCTTGGTGTCGCCGTATGGCCAAAGGAATCTAGCGCATGGTTGGCACCGAGCAGACGTCATAATGGATCAGCAACCGGAAACTTTGATGCTCCTATATCTATGCTTGAATCCCAGTGGGGTTCTCCTTATACGGAGATAGAAGTATTGAAGTCTGCAGATGCATTAGATTTCGTTTTTTCTCGTGTTCTTGGTGACACGGATGCGGATCTGTTGCCAGCAATTGAATATGAAGAAATGGCAAAACAGGAAGGAGGTCTATCCCCTGAAGATAAAGAAGCATTTGCCTGCAATCTTACAGGATACACCATGAATGGTGATACAGGATTATACCAAACAGTTCGTGGTTTAGAGGTGGATACAGATTGCCAACAGATGTGTGGGCAAGTCCAAGGATGTATACTAGCTACATTTGATGGATCAAATTGTAAGATGTATTCCTCTGTAGGTACAATAGAAGAAGGAAGAGGATCAATAGTTATACAGGGGTGTGATAATTCATGTTATAGAAGAGGACAACGACATAAAGGAGAAGGAATTTCTTTAGGGAAAGCATTAAATCCTCATGTATGCCAAGCAATATGTAGAGGAAAAGAGGATTGTATTGGTTTTTCATGGGAAAGATCTACATTAGAGTGTACATCTTATACAAAAGAAGATGATTATACACCTTCTCGTGGTTATGTTAGTGGTCCTCGTGATTTATGTACATTAAATACTAAACCTGCTAATTATGCAGGTAATATAAGTCTTGCTAATTATAGCGGTAATGCAAATAACGATGTAGAGACAGCGAATGTTGCATCTGAGGAATTATGCAGACGTATGTGCTTATTATCCCCTACATGTAATTGGGTAACTTATAATACAGCAGACTATAAATGTTACCAAAAAAGTGCTAAAGGAGTAATAGTTAAGGCAAAAGAAGGAGATAGAACATCATCAAGATTAGCTGATTCAAGTTGTTACCTAAAGGATGTTAAATATACAGCAGATCCTTATACAACTAATCAGAAAGAATATCTACAGGAATGTGTGCATGCATGCTCTGTAGATAATAGATGTAATAGATGGACATATAATACACAAAATAAAAATTGCCAATTATTTGATGGAGAAGGACCTTATACTAGTGATTATAATGCATTAAATACATGGAGTGGTCCTTCTTCTGGTTGTGCAGCTGAGCCTATCTATCTAACACAGCCTGATGCTCCTGCATGCAGTATTCGTGGTGTACGTTATGGAGGATTTCCTATTAATTCAGTAGTAAGTAATAATGCTAATGAATGCCAATCTGCATGCGATTCAGCTACAGGATGCGAAGCATTTTCTTATGATTTTATAGGAAAAGTATGCTACTTTTATATTGCTATTAATGCACAGACTAAAATACCTAATTATAATTTTATATCTGGACCTAGACAATGTGCAGGTTGCCAAGAAGGGGCTGTTGAATATAGTGGTGCAATCAAGGAAATCGCATCAGGTGTCGAGACACCCGAGGAGTGCCAACTTATATGCCAAGCAACAGCTCATTGTTCACGATATACTTTCCGTGGTAATCGTTGCAGTCTATTTAATAGCCAAGCAACATCAGAACCAAGCCCCATGGCAATTAGTGGTCCTCGTTATTGTACAGGTGCATGCGATTTAAATGGATATTTTGCTCCAATGAAGGATTATGGTTATATGCAACAAAGAGAAACAGAAACAAAAGAAGAATGCCGTGCATTATGCAAGAAGGACCCAAAATGCAGTAACTTTACCCATTGGGAGGATAAGAGATGCTATCTTAAGGATGATGAATCATTACGTCATGTTGGTGTACCTAAGGAAAGTGCATCAACAGGTTTCTTATCCTGTGGTAGCTGTCTTGCAGAGGGTGTAGGTATAAAGGTAGATAATACGAATTTATTATGGAGATTAGAGGCATATAATGGAGAAGAATGCCGATGGAGGTGCGACATAATGAGTTCTTGTGCAAGATTTGTATATAATGTATTAACAAGAGAATGTACATTATTAAAAGGAGATGCAACAAAGACGAATTCTTCTGAATTAATTTCTGGTCCTTCTCGTTGTACAGTAGATAATTCATGTTATATAAATAATAGAATAATAGAGGGAGGAGAAAAGATAAAAAGTGCAGAAACAAATACAGCAGAAGCATGTCAAGAATTATGTATAAGAAATGCTAAATGTACACATTTCTCTTATAATAATAATAATAATAATGGTCAATGTACCTTATTAGCAGGTAAATTAACAACAAGAGAAGAAGAAGGAATAATATCTGGTCCTAAGAAATGTTTTGCATTAAAATCTTTATGTAATGAGAATTCAATTACTTATGAAGGAGGAGAGATAAATAATTCAGCTGTAGATACAGTAGAAGAATGCCGTAAATTATGTTATAATGAGCCACAGTGTCGTGTATATACATATAAGAAAGATACAAAGAAATGTATATTAAGAACAATAGATTCAATAATAAATAGAAAAAATGCAGATAAAAATACATTATCTGGATCCAAGTATGGATGTGCTAGATGTACAAGAGGAGGATTCGCATATAGAGGATACACTATAAATAAAATACAACAAATACCTAATGAGACTTCTTGCCAATTACAGTGCGAGGCAAATAGTCAATGTATTGCCTTTTCTTATTTTATTGTAGAAAAAGTTTGCGAACTTAAATCTAAAATTAAGGAAATAAAAGAGGATACAAATGCTGTATCCGGACCAAGAAGGTGCTAATCACCTACTACTGATGCAGCTGCTGCTGCTGCTCCTGCTGCTGCTGCTGCAGTAGCAGCAACAGCAACAGCAGCAGCAGCAGCAGAAGGAGAAGGAAAAGGAAAAGGAAAAGGAGAGGCAAAGACAGCGTCAGCAACAGCAACAGCGTCAATTATAGCGACAGCATATTCAGCATTAGCAACAATAATAACCCCAGCTGCAGCAGCAGCAGCAACAGCAGCAGCAACAACAATAACAGCAACAGCAGCAGCAGAGGTATACAAGTAAATCTGTTGCTGATGGGTGTAACTTTTTTGCTGATGCTCATGTTGTTGTAGCAATAAGGGTTTCTTCTTTATATATTATTAATTAGGACATAAATATAAATATAAATATATAAATATATACAACTTAATTCCTTATTTAATTGCTGTCCTCTTTTCTTTGTCTATAAAATACTAAATAATTATATATTAATATAAATATAAATATAAATATAAATATAAATATAAATATAAATATAAATATAAATATAAATATAAATATAAATATATATAAATATAAATATAGGAGTTTCTTGCTATAGAGACATATACTAACACAATTTTTATATAGTTGTATATATATAAATATAATATATATATATATAATATAATTATAAAATAATTAATTTAATTATTATATACACTTAATTAACCTTACGAATATATATATACATATATAGTAGGTACCTATCTATACCCTCTATCTAGATAGTCATTAGTACCCTATAGGAGGAACTAGGTGAGTAATTAGTGGGCCCCCTACAGAGCGAATTGCAGCAAATAATGATCTTCTTATACAGCAGGAAAAAGAGGAGGAAATATGGATAGATGGGGATGCAGCACAGCAGCAGCAAATGCTGCTGCTGCTCATCCTGCAGCAGCAGCACCACCAGTACGGTCACGTAGATTCGCTTAAGACAAGTACGAAATACTGCTGCTGCTGCTGCTGCTGCAGCAGCAGCAGCAGAAGCTGCAGCAGCAACAACATAGGCTGTGTTGTTCGTTTTCTTAGATATAGAAGGGAATTGTTTGTGTAAAATAACGAATTTGTTTTGCAGCTAATCGCTTATGTTTTGCTTCTCTAGGGTTTAGGGTTAAGGGTTTAGGGTTTACGGCTAAGGGGGAGCCAACGGGTTATGGCCATTACGTACCTTAAGGTCTATCGTGCCCATATTATAGCCTACGGATAAATTATTTTATAATTAATATTAATGAATTATATTAATATATATACAACTATATAAAATGGTTCTAGTATTTATGTCTCAATTGCAAGAAAATCCCTTGTTTGTACCTATATTTATATTTATATTTATATTTATATTTATATTTGTATTTTATATTTATATTTATATTCTATATTTATATTTATATTTTATATTTATATTTATATTTATATATGAATAATTTCCTGAGGGGTTCGACCCCTCAGAATAAATATTCGCTAGCCGGTGCACAGCTACTGACACTGACGGACACGACGCCCCCGTGCATGTGCTTAATTGCTGCTCACCACCAACACAGCCTTGACAACACAATCATGACAGGGCTGTACATTACTGAGGCTGGGCATCACCTTAAGAGACAGTGAGCTCAAGTATATATATACCAATAGAGGATGTATCCATTGCCTTCGAGGATTACTCAGAGAATTCATATAGAGCGGCTCGTACGAACAAATAAGAAGAGTATAAGAGCTTAAGAGGAACTATGAATAACCGTAGATATAGGGTGTCACTGCAAGCATTAGTATATATATAGGTCCCTCAAGTGCACTGCAAAAGGGAACGGAGGAGTGCCTACACAGAATATTAGGGTTAAAGGTAAATAAAGCGTGGGCCATCCAATGCTACGCCCAAGGGGTCCTCGCCAAACATTACTCCGAAAGGTGAGAGCTTTGTAGAGGAATGGCAAGTTCTGTTGTATGCGAGTTCCAATGCAGGCAAAAGGCGCTCCCACTCGAGCTCATCGGACCTGATATACATTCGTAGCATCTCTTCCAGCGTTCGATTACGCCGTTCTGTTTGACAGTCACTGTGCGGATGGTACGATAAGACACACCGAGCTTGATATCGAGGCGCGAACACAATGATCGCCATAACGCTGACTGGACGCGCAGGTCGTAGTCCTAAATAAGAGTGTCTGGGAACCGGTGATAGCGAATAAGGTGATCGGCCAATATATCGGCAATGTCCGGGGAGGTGATTGACTTCTTCGCTGGAACACAATGAGCCATCTTAACACGCGAATCCACCAGCGCTAGGATCAAGTCATGACCCGTTAATGTGAGAGGGAGATCGGTAATACAATCTAAGCTAACATGGCTCCACCGTCCTGAAGGAATAAGTAGTCGTTGAAGCAGACCGGGGGGCTTCTGATTAAGGAATTTGGAGGCTCGACACTGGGCACAAGACTCCACATACTCAATAGTTTAAGCTCTCATATCCGGCCAGTAGTAAGACTGGCTGTGGTCCACGAAACTCTTCTACTGACCTCGATTTCCTGGCGTCATATGATCGTCGTGGATATATAGAATCTGTGTTAGGGACTAAGGGCACTGTAGAACGAAAATGAGCCAGACGCCGTGGATGCAAGTAGGCAAGTACGGCACCCCACACCCGATGGCAAGTGTGGGGTTCGACAGAAACTGCCTCGCCTTGCTGGTGAATGGCTACGTCGTACGGATCGAGGAAAATGGGACACTTGGAATAACCCTTATCCCAATCGAGGGACTTAGGAGGTTCTGGTTGAGGCTGAGGCGCCTGTGGGGGTTCCGCCTTGGCTTGTCTTGCTGCATGTGTCGAGGCCGGAGGCGTTGGTGACTTGGAAAGCAGCCTAGGTGTCCGTGATTCAAGGCCGGGTAACTCCCGATATTTTGGGCGTTTACCCTTTGTGTTCTGATATCGATATGCGTGTGCTGTGGCTAACATAAGAGGTGCGGGGGGTTGTGTGAAGGGGCTGAGAGATCAGTGCTGGCACGTAGCTGATGTGAAGCAGGATAGCAGGGAAGCCGAGGCATTGCGTCTGCCTCCCTATTTCCCATCCCTTCCAAGTATGTGATGGTGAGGTGGGGGGACTCAGCGAGGAAGTCTAGCCATCGAGCTGTTCTTCTGTCCAGAGGTTTTGACACCTTGAGCTGTTATAAGTGAGGAAATGCTTGGCGAGCAGTGAACGTCGTGACATTGGCGGCGCGTAGTGAGACTACATGTCAAGAGCAGTGACCAAAGCTAGGAGTTCTTGGTCATAGATCCCACTTCTCGGGAGGTATACCTTTCGTCTAAAAATCCATCTGTAAGTTCCGTAGAAAGGCCTTCAGGGAACGTACTGACGGAATTTGTGATGGTAGGTATACACTGAGACGTTGGGAGTTGAAGTTCGTAGATACTTGACGAGGAGGAAGTTGCAGTACTCGTTCCATCTGTGGAACTCCAAGGTGAACAAGGGCCATGAGGTTATTCCCACACTCTTGCACGATATAAGTTCAGTTCATTGGTACTGGCCAGCTAGAGGTACTTGCCTCTCAGGGGATGCACATCGTGGGTTGGTAAACTGGGTGTACGACGCCACTGTCCTTGCCGGAAGCTTACTGATAATGGGAGCTTGGTATTCATGATTTATAGAATAGCAGTCTCAGAAATAGTAGTTAGATATGTCGTGCACCGAAATTACGCAGACTAGATTCACGTAGTGTCAGCCGAGTGGGTGAGCTGTTCACTACATTTAATGTGCGAGCTGTTCACTACGTTTGGGGTCCGTTGCTTTGGTTTGTTTCTTCCGGTTGTTAGAATGCACATTTTTTCGGTTTATTCACCTAATTTGCCTTCTGATTCGTATCCGGGTGTCCGCTTGTCTTCAGCTTGCATCAGGACAGCATCAGTTGCTCGTTGAGCAAGTGCATGAGAGATTTGGTCTCCGACCGCTGACATCCTACAACAAATATTTCCAAATGTGACTGTAGACGCTCATCCAACATCGAATGCAAGATATCTAGAGTCTAAATTTCCCTTTAAAACCCCAAAATGCAGCGAGCAGCTCGAACACTCGGCTGACACTACGTGATTGCCTAGTCTGCGCAACTTCGGTGCGCACCATACATCTAACCGCAGTCTTTGCGATTGCCATTGTAGCAATCATAAATACCAACCTCAGACTATGAAGAAGGTCCAAATCCGGTTTGTAAAGGTAGGAAGAGGTGGGTGCCTAATTGTTTTCATTGCTAGCGTCACCGGCCCACTAGCCCCAAACCCTACGAACTGTACGCACACGTTGCCCATTCGACCACAATTGTGGTCGAAAGGTTCCATATTAAATAATAAATATTCTTTATACGATGCTTTATAACGAATGCGCCCACCAGAGGCTCAGCGGAGAGTCGACTGCAGTGCACGTGCTCTGCACTGCAACGGCTGTGCCGTCGAGCTTGAACAGACCAAATCGGCGTTGTCGATTATGGTAAACACGATTTTTTGTACATTTTCCCCAATAATTTAGTAGAAAAATAGAACAAAATATTGAAATAAAATAAAAATGCTTACGCGTTGTTGATTTGTAGCTTTCGTCATGGTGGGGTGTGCAGTATGATGAAGCTAACAGCTAGCTGGCACGCAAGCACCGTCGCGATCTGAAATTTCAGCAGTGCTGTTTCCTCTTTTTGCTCTCATGAACTTCTTCAAGTTCTGTTATTTGACTACCCTTCTTTTACCTTCGTTTTCCTTTCATATTGAAGGGCCTTTTAAAACCGCTTGTAGGTAATATTCCTTCAATGCGGTGAATCGGTAACTCCTCACCATTGTGTGCGGCAAGTTTCCGAGTACTTAGGTCCTTGCTTGATCACCTCATTTGCCGTTTATTTATCAATTCATGGGAGGGAATATTTTCTTCTCTCTGTTATTTTCATTCATCACGTGCTGATTAGATTGGCAGAAACCTTCTAATCCTCACGTGTTCCGGCATCGTTCTTCAGCCTTCGAGCCATCCAGCGCGTCAGGCACACATCTCTGTGTGGTGTTGGTGTGGCTATTTTTAAGCCTTTTTCCTCCTTTTTTTTCCAGCGATTTTATTACTCCAGTTTATTCCTCAACTACGTAATGAGGCAATTGCAGCGGGTGGCGGCCCTGGCGGGCCTTGGCGCCGCCATGTGGCCTCAGGGAACTACCGCATGGATGGCACCAAATAGGCGCCATCATGAAAACCAATCCGGCAACTTTGGAGCTCCCGTATCAATGCTCGAAACCCAATGGGGTTCTCCTTATACCGAGATTGCAGTGTTGAAGACTGATAATGCTTTGGATTTCTTCTTTTCTCGTGTTCTTGGTGACACCGATGCGGATCTTCTGCCTATAATTGAACACGAAGCAGTGGAAAGCGGAACCCCTGAAGATAAGGAAGAATTTTCCTGCAATCTTACAGGATACGTAAGAAAAGAAGAGGAAGGTTTGCACTTAACAGTTCGTGGTGTAGAGGCCGAATCCGACTGTCAGCAGATGTGCGGACAAGTACCACAATGTTTGTTAGCTACATTTGACGGCGCTTTCTGTAAGATGTATACATTTGTAGGTACACTGGAAGAAGGCAAAGGATCTGTAGTCTTCCAGGGTTGTGACAGTTCATGCTATAAGCGCGGCAAACGTCATGATGGTGAAGGAATTATCCTAGGCAGAACTCCTAATCCTCATGTATGCCAAGCAATGTGCAGAGCATCCAAGGGTTGCATTGGCTTCTCATGGGAGAAATCTACAAAACTATGTACCTCTCATACATCAGAAGGAAACTACAAGTCCGCTCGTGGCTTTGTCAGTGGTCCTCGTGATCTCTGTTCAGTAAATACACAGCCTGTAGACTATGCAGGAAGTATAAGTCTTGCCGAGTTCAGTGGTAATGGACCTAATGATCTTGAGGCAAAGAATGTTGGCTCTGAATCTATCTGCCGTCGCATGTGTTTATCATCCCCTGCATGCACCTGGGTAACTTATAATACAGCAGACTTCAAGTGTTACCTCAAGCCAAGAGAAGGACGTATTGTACATTACAAGAATGGGGATAGAACATCCGCAAGATATGCTGATTCAAGTTGCTACCTGAAGAATGTTAAATTTACAGCCAGTGCATACACCTCAGTTCAGAAGGACTATCTACAAGAGTGTGTGCATGCATGCGCTATGGATAAGAAATGCACAAGATGGTCATATAATACACAGAAGAAAACTTGCCTAATGTTCAATGGCGAAGCACCTTATACAAGCGATTATAATGAGGCGAATTCATGGAGTGGTCCTTCTACTGGCTGTGGTCCCGAGCCTCTATACTTGACACAGAAGGATGCTCCTGCATGCAGTATCCATGGTGTACGTTATCAGGGTGTTCCTCTTTCTTCAGTAGCAACCGCTACTGCTAATGAGTGCCAAGCTGCATGCCTTGACGCTACAGGATGCGAAGCCTTTTCTTTTGACTATAAAGGAAAGATATGCTACTTCTATATCGCCTCCAATACAAGACAGACAATCACCAACTATAACTTCGTATCTGGACCTAGACAGTGTGCAGGCTGCCAAGAAAGTGGTATTGAATATAACGACCCAATTCAAGAAATAACAAATGTTGAGACACCCGAAAACTGCCAACTTTTATGCCAAGCAACAGCTCACTGTGCTCGTTACTCTTTCGTTGCTAATTCTTGCCGCCTCTTCAACTATGAAGTAACGTCCAAGAAAAATGTCTTGGCTATCAGTGGACCTCGCTACTGCACAGGTGCATGCGATTTGAATGGTTACTTCGCTCCTAATAAGGATTACGGATACCTGAAGGAAACAGAGGCACACACAAAAGAAGAATGCCGTGCATTATGCAAGAAGGACCCCAAATGCTCCAACTTTACCCACTGGGAGGATAGGAGATGCTACCTTAAGGATGAGGAATCTTTACGTCTTGTTGGTGTACCGGAAATTAAGGCAGCCACCGGTTTCTTGACCTGTTCAAGCTGTCTTGCTGAGGGTGTAGGGATTAAGGTAGATGACAGCAAGAATTTATTATGGAGATTAGAGGCATACAATGGAGAGGAATGCCGCTGGAGGTGCGATATAATGAATTCTTGCACAAGATTTGTATACAATACATTAACAAAAGTATGTTCTCTATTAAAGGGAGATTCAGTTAAGACCAGTGCTGTTGAATTAATCTCCGGTCCTTCTCGTTGCGTTGTAGATAACTCATGTTTCTTCCGTAATACAACATTGGGAGGAGGGGAAACAGTAAAAAGAGCACAGACAGAGACGGCAGAAGAATGCCAAGAATTGTGTGCCATTAGCCCTCGCTGCACATACTTCACCTTCGCTGCTGGTCAGTGCTCTCTATTAGCAGGAAACTTGACAAGCCAAGAGGGAGAGGGATGGACATCCGGACCTAAGAAATGCTTTGCATTGAAGTCCTTATGTAACGAGAAGGGTATAGACTATGAGGGTGGGGAATTGAA